AATTGCCAAGCCAGAATTATCTATCCCCTTTGATTGTCCTGGATGCTTTTTCTGAATCCTATTCTTAGCCCTCTGACATGCTTGTCTGGATTCTAATGGTTCCACTTGAAGTTTTCGACATGCAATTTGGAGAGAATCGTTATAAAACTACTTTAAATTTATCCAGAAGCTTTTGCAAATGAGATAAGCTGAAAATAGGCACACCAACAACACTGGTAGAAAATTTGGTCTTTTTCAGGAGTATTATTCAACAGTTGGGGGAAATAGCTCAAGAATAGGATTACTGCAAGATATCAGTGTACTATTAGATGGCAGTAAAGTTACACAGAAAACTGCTACCATCTTGTGATCATCTTGGTTTGTTTTTGTTACAGTCAATTGAGTCAGTCTTGACTTCTGGTGATTGCAGAAACAAGAATATGCACGGGGTTGCTGTTTTCAGAAGTTGCAGTCATGTGATGATTGACAACCACAATTGGTGTTTTCCAATGGAATGAATGGACTCGGTTTACAACCATAGCATTCGCTTTACGACTGCCACAAATAAAAGCCATAAAATCAGATTAGTTATATGGGTGCCTCCATCTAAGACCATCATGACATATGACAGAAATTCCGGGCTCCATTACAGTTGTAAGTCAAGGACTATTATGGAACTCAGTCTCCTGGTTCCTAATCCAACAAGGAGAAATTTCCTGACAGTGAGAACAATCAATCGTTGGAACAACTTGCCTTCAAAAGTTGCGAGTGCTCCATCACTAGAGGTTTTTAAGAAGGGGACAGCCATTTGTCCGGAATAGTGTAGGATCTTCTACTTGAACAGTGAGTTAGACTAGAAAACCTTCAAAGACCCTTCCAACTCTGTTGTTCTGTATTCTGTATGTTTAACAACTACACCAAATTGGCTTCCTTAGATCTAGTGGTCCTACTTCTTCTTCTTGTTGTGCCATATCCGTTATTGGAAGTTGGCGATCATGTTGGCGATCCTGTTTTTATCAGCAGCCGCACGAAAAAGTCTGCTGAGTTTTGTCCAAACCAGTCTCTTAGATTTTGAAGCCCCGATGTTCTTCTTCTGCCTGGACCTCATTTGCCTTCAATCTTTCCCTGGAGGATTAAATGGAGTATTTTTCTGGGTGTCGCATCACATGTCCGAAATATTCTAATTTTCATTTTTTAATTGTTTTGATGATTTCCCTTGGCTTTCCCAGGCGGCTGATCACCTCCTCATTTCTGATCTTGTCAACCCAGCTTATATGTAACAGCCACCTGTAAATCCACATTTCAAATGCTTCTAGTCTCTTCAGGTGGCCTTCTGTCAGAGGCCAACTCTCTACTCCATAGAGCAGGATAGAAAAAATATAGCCTTTGACAAGCCTGATTTTCAGTCTTAGGCTTATGTCGTGACTGCAGAAGACCTTTTTCATTTTGAAGAATGCTGTTCGAGCTTTCTCTATCCTTGTCTTTACTTCAGTGGTCATGTCCCAGCTT